GGACCAGTGTCCCAAGAGATGTTGTTGATTACATCGTTTATGGCACAGTTATCCAGGAGGTGAAAACGAGTAATGTTGCCAGAGAGGTGGGTTACGTGCAGCATTTCCCCTGAAAGTCTGATTTCTGCAACTAGTATGAAGGTGACAAACACCTGCAAAAAAGAAATTTCCAGTATTGTGGTTCATTTAAATGTGATTTGAGAGTATGAACTAGTTGTGCAGCACTGTCTGTCAGATAACTGTATGGGACTCTGCCTCCTGTTGAAATCTGCCGTAATCAAGTGCATTTTAATGCTGTGAAGCCTCTGCTTGATTCTTCCCTGAAAGGGAAGTTTTTGTAAACGATTGCTGATCACTTCAGCTCTAACTACCAGTTGGACTCTAAAGCTGGCTTGTCCGAAGTACTTGAGAGGGCCAGAGCATGCTGTGATAGATTGCTTTGCTGTGGTATTTATTTATTTTAGTTGGCTGATCAGATGCAGCTTTTGAATGACTTGAAATGGAGTAGTTTAGCTGCCCTTTTTTCTGGCAGTCGGAAAACAGAGTTCGCATATTATACGCAGCAAGAAGCAGGTCCACTGAAGTAATATTACAGAGGTGGCATGTGATTTTTCTATAACCTGGAGCCTCCGCTGTTGTTCTCTGCAACTGGGCAAAACCGCGATGTAACTTGGGCTGGAAGGACTTAGCAGGTTATGAGGCTCTCCAGTTCCATCGGCAGTTTTAGCCTTGTATATGCAAATACTTGCTTTGGTCACCTGCCAGTCAGATGAGGCCGTGGTGTAATTTTTAACTTGGGAACAACTGTTGAACTTTAAACTAGTTGGCCACGTCTCAAGTAGGGAAGGTCTTGCTGTGAGCGGTTCTCCCGTGATGGGAGGCTGCGCTCTCAGCTGGGTCAACCGAGGCGCTGCATTCTGAACCACAGGAAATGTTTTCTGTTCTCTGTAAAGCCAGTCGCTGTGCCTCGTCCTGAGGCGTCTAAATGATTCCTTTCACGTACCGCCTTTGCAAATAAGGTGAAGCAAAGATGACGTCAAGTAGTTGGAAGCTCTTGAAATTGTGAGGTGTGCGATTAGTTTGTCCCTTTATTAATGGGGGGCCAGGGATTGTCCGCATAATGCGACCGAGAGCCCTGGCAGCTGGGCAGCTGCTGTCTCCTCCCGTTCCCATGATCTGGGGAAGGGAAGAGCTGCTGCAGTAATTGGCTGGATGAAAACTCGATGTACTTGTTTTCAGCTTGGTCTGCAAAGGTGTGTTGCTGGGCAGAAGGTAGCTCTGACCCTGTGGAGCAAAAGGTGTAGGTTTTAACAGCCATTCTTTGTTGCTCGTAGGCTGCCTTGGGAGCGGGTTTCTCTGACAAAACTCCAGCCCATACAGTCACCATGGCTTGCATTTCTTCAAACCAGGCTATGACCACAGGTATGTTGGCTGGAAGAACAAGCTGTGGCTCTAAGAAGGAGCTTAGCAACTCCTCTACATCCCTCACCTAGCTTGCATTGCTCAGTGAATATAAGCAAGCACCTGAAGAAATTCTGGAATGGAAGGAAAGTTTTCAAACCAAGAAAATATAATGTGAATAGAGTGTCTGCTGTAGACCTGCCAGCAGCTGGACACCCTGTGCATTCAGCAATAGTCTCTGCTCAGCGTCTGTGTTAGCTTGGGAGGTAAAGACTGTGTCACGATAAGGAAGTTGTTACCTTTCAGGCTACTTTCATCTTTGACTTAGCCTAAACAGGGCAAAAAAATTGAGAGCCGGTTACTGTCCTGAATCACTGGGGGTATTCTTCGCCCAGCTGCTGCGTGTGACAAAGAGAAGTGGAAGCAAAGTTACAAAACTAGCACGATTCAGAAAATGTCTGTTCAACGTGCTCAGTCTCTGTTAAGCACATGTTGTATAACTCGGCCAAAGCCAGAGGCCGGAGAAGGAAATAAAATGTAGTAGTATCCAAAGCACTCGTGGGGTAAGTGTCACTTTGCCCCACAGCTCTCATGGGAAACTGTCTCGTTCTGCAGGCGTGGGTATGATTGCAGCTGGACAGTGCGATGTCGTCGTAGCCGGGGGTGTGGAGTTAATGTCAGACGTTCCCATTCGTCACAGTAGGAAGATGAGGAAGACTATGCTCACTCTTAACCGAGCCAAGACCTTGGGCCAAAAGCTCTCCCTCATTTCCAAAATTCGCCCTGACTACTTTACTCCTGAGGTAATTTTTTTTTCAGGCATTTAGATATTTAAGCTAAACTGTTGCATAAGGAGGTGTAAAACAAGTTGGCTAAGGTAATTTTTTTAGCCTCAATGGAGAGGATTTGAAAAGGGTAAGGTGGCTGCCTGTGGCTCACCTTTATCGGATCTTTAAAACTGCAGTTGATTAATGCATCTCATGGCATTTGTGACTCTCTGCTTTGTCTTCTTACATGTTGGTCTTCAGTAAACCTAACTTATTTCAAACCTCCCTCTCCTTCTACAACTCCTAGGCAAACTGTGCTGGAGACTACAAAAGTAGAAGCTTTTTCATAGAATCATCGAATCGTTGAGGTTGGAAAAGACCTTTAAGATCATCCAGTCCAACCATTAACCTCACACTGCCAAGTCCACCACTAAACCCTTTAAGGGCAGAGGAAGAATTAATTTCATGTTTCCTGGCTTGATGGCTGCATTTTTTAATGAAAGTAAAGTAGGAATCACTAAGGTTGGAAAGCCCCTCCAAGATCATCAGCCCAACCATCAACCCAACACCCCCATGCCCACTAAACCATGTCCCCAAGTGCCACCTCTGCCCATTTGTTGAACCCCTCCAGGGCTGGGGACTCCCCCACCTCTCTGGGCAGCCTGTTCCAATGCTTGGCCGCTGTTTCTGTGAAGAAATTTTTCCTAATATCCAATCTGAACCTCCCCTGATGCAACTTGAGCCCATTTCCTCTCATCCTATTGCTTGTTCCTTGGGAGAAGAGACCAGCACCCATAAATACAAAATTTATGCAAGGGTCCTAAAGGGTTGGAAGAATTTTTGTTTCCTAGATAGTAGAAGTAACATGCTTAATATCGGAGAGGACTATCCTCAGTGTATTGTTTGATTAATGCACCTTAAATATGCCTTTTGATTACTGCTCCTGGCCACGTCCTGCCAGGTGCTGAATGTGTTCAGCTCCCGCGTTTGGGCCCTGATGAGAATGGGCGGTCTGCTGGTTCCTGTCAGGAGCCTGCTGTAGAGGCAGCCGCTCTTCTCTGTCTTGGAGGTCATGAGAGAGGTGAATTATGGGTGGTGGACGTGGAGATGGGAAGGAAAAGCATGTCCGTCCTTACCACCACCGAGCTCTTCACAAGAAAACCGTGTGCGTCTGTGCCGCTGCTGGCGTACAGCAGAGATGAGATCCAAATCCAAATAAGATGGGAAAATTGCCGACTTGCACGTGTGCAGGCATTTTCCGTGTGCTGCTGGAAGAATAAAAGCTAAGCTGAACTCACTTGCTGTCTCTGGTTCTGCTTGAGGAGGTATTTGACAAGGAGTTTTAAGGTCCCAGGATGTGTTGTTTCATCTTGGTCCCAAAAGTCCGCTCACCCTTCATAGGGGAGCCCTTGTTAAATGGAGGAGGCAGCTGCTCTGTGTCTGCGTGTGCAAATCCGGTGCAGTTCTTGAACCCCTGGAGTAAGCAGCAGTCTGGATTTCTTTTTTTTTTTTAAAATCCATTTTTTTCCTAAATCTTTGAAAGTCATGGTTCCTCTAATACATTTGACCGAGTCACTTCTGGTATGGTTACCATGTGTTAATCGCGTAGCTCTAATATTAAACTGCTCTAGTCAATAAATGGAAGGGCCTCGCTGGCTGACTGTGCAGGGCTTAACCAACTTCAGAACTTTATGTAAGTGCCCAGGGACAGGGGTTTATGTGCGCTGACTTGATTTTTCTGTTTTGTAGCTCCCAGCTGTGGCAGAGTTCTCCACCAGCGAGACTATGGGGCACTCTGCCGATCGTTTGGCTGCTGCCTTTGCCGTTTCCCGTTTGGAGCAAGATGAGTATGCCCTCCGTTCACACACACTAGCCAAAAAGGCCCAGGACGGAGGCTTGCTGCTTGATGTGGTACCCTTCAAAGTGCCAGGTAAAAGCGCACATTTCATTGCTAGCATGCACTAGGTCAGCAAAGAAACATTTTATTTAGGAAAGCAGGGGAAGTACTGGGGTCAGATTCGTAACATTCTGTGTATCTGATAGGGATTTTAACTCTGTTTTGCCCTGGAAAACTACTGACATAGGAGCATGTTTCTAAACATGCATATCTAAATACATAACCATATCCTTGCGTGTCTAAACTTTGTCATACTCACCTCCTGTCCACGCTGGTGTGATGATAGAGCAAGGAAAATCAGACCGGTTGGACCAAGAATCCCCCTGCTCTTTCAGTCAGGCAAGAGAACCCATTTTTACACCCCAAGCTATTAACAACAAATAGAAAGCCTAATAAAATCCCGGTCTGATAAATCAGGTGCTGGATAGCAAGAGCTGAAATGTGATCCGCTTGGCAGAGTCCAGTTCACGAGGCCTCACGGTTATTGCTCGGGTATGAAACGGCTCGGGGAGAAGCTTCAAGCTGTCCTTTCTGTGGCCTGATTTCCACCCTCATCCTCCATCAGCCAGTGGGCACGCTTTGGTCTAGCTGTTAATTTTGGGCACTTTAGTCTGTAGTTAGTTTCCTAGAGAGACCTTACTTTTATAGATCCACAGTTACATACAGCCTTTATACTGAACTTGGTACTTTTTGCAAGCTGGCTTATTTAAGGAGTCAGTATAGTTGAAGATACGTATATTTGGTTCTTCCCAGTGCTCTTACTTCCTCAAAACTTGGCACGTTAGTGTGTACTGATTTAGGCTCAGTTGTCCAGTTTAGGCTTTATAATCTGAATTTAAATTCTTTTATCAACTGTGGTAGTTTTTTTCTTACAGTGAGTAGACTGCAGCGCTTTATTTTTGCAGTCTTCAGAGAGGAAGTAATGCAGCTTCTATTTTTAAGTGCTATTTTTTAGCCACGTTAAATATCCTGATGCCGTGAATGGTTTTTCTCTTTTTTCCTCCTCCCGCTTGTCATAAAAAGCAGTTTTCTGATTTTTTTTTCCCCGCCAGACTCCTGATGTGCAATTTCATCTATGTTGCTGACTTTCTTAGTTTAAATACGCTTTTCTCATCAACAGGCAGAGATACAGTTACCAAAGATAATGGGATCCGTCCTTCCTCAATGGAGCAGATGGGCAAGCTGAAGCCAGCTTTTGTCAAGCCGTACGGAACTGTCACGGCTGCCAACTCCTCCTTCCTGGTAATGCGTGTTCCCATCACTGTGTGAGTCAGAGGGGAAAACTGTCCGGTTTACCCTCTGCTTCCCATGGGCACGTAGGTGAAGCTGGTATAACCTGTGGGAACGAGTTGTCTCCTTTGCAATGTCACCTGCTTTTGGATTTTTTTCAAGGGTAGCTTTGAACTGTGCTTTAATCTGGTGAACTTGGGTACTGGATTGTATCGTGTTAAAATCGATAACTAAACCCCTGAAGTTTTGCTGTTTGCATTTCTGTAGCTGCCTTGTGAGGGTTGATCATTCAAAGGCACGTGTAGAAATTCTGTCCCAGGATGGGATTGTATGTCTAGAAGTTAGTAGTTTTGGACTAAACTTGTCACTTCAAGGCTTGCCCTGTAATCCACAGAGGGGAGGGAGCGATTTCTCTAGCACATCTACGATGAGCTCTCTTCTGCGTATGCTCCTTTTTCTCTCTTTAGCGCTTTTAAAGGAAGCTTTTTTTAGATGCTGAAGTCTAAGGGAGTTGTGTAAATTAGGTGAGCTGTGTCTGAGCCCCAGTTCCTGAGACTCAGTAGAAGGTGATTGCCACTGCAGGCGTCCCGCAGAGGGCTCGAGGTGACGGTCTTGTTCCTGCACGCAGCCCTGACGGATTCTCCTCTGTTTAAAAGGCTGATTCACAGTTTGTGACGAGCACTTCAAAGGAAGCCAGTAACTACTGCTGAGGCCCTTCCGGCAGCAATGCTGTTTACTCCTTAGCATTCTTGGGGACTTAGGAAAGCCTGGTAACGCCACAGCCTCGGTGTTAGGAACGGCTGAAACGCCGTTGGTGTGCTCCGTGCCGCAGGTCTGTAGGCCAGCTTAGGCTGTTACCTGAGAAAGGAGTGGTCGTGGGCCAAAGCCACGATGTTCGTTTTGGCAACGTGGTGAGCCTGTGGCTTGAGTCATCCTGGAATTATACTCTGGTTTTGGGATGGAGTTGGGCGGACCGGTGAGTGGTTGGGGTAACCAGCTTGTCCTCAGGACTGGCAGGGCAGTCGGGCACCTCTGTCCTGTTTGAAAGCAGGGGGAGTTGTGGGTCTGGAGTGTCAGGAAGTGCTTTCAGCAATGCATGTGCTAGCATCGTTCGGAAATCATCCTCTCTTGCCAGCCGCTCTGCGGGAGGGCTGTCGGGCTCGTTTTGTGCGCAGGGCATGCTTGCTCTTCAGGCAGTGACCTCCCTGCGTTTGCCTGTTTCAGACAGACGGTGCTTCGGCAATTCTGCTCATGTCTGAGGAGAAGGCTCTGGCAATGGGATACAAACCAAAGGCCTACCTGAGGTATAAAAGGGACTGCTCTACGTGGCCTCTGAAGTCTGCGCTCGCTTCCTTCTCCTCCTCTTTTACTAATAGCATTTCTCCCGTGCAGGGACTTTGTGTATGTGTCCCAGGATCCAAAGGACCAACTGCTACTGGGGTAGGTGGCGATGATCAGGAGTCTGTGCTAGCACAACAGCCTTGACTTGCCATTACATGTTTGTTTTTTGGGAAGTGTCTCATGAGATGTTGCATCTCTTTGGGCCTTCTCGCAAAGGTGCGAGAGCCGGTGTGTGAAGTGTGACTCGGCAGGGGGAGGTGGCTAATGTGGGAGAGCGGCTGTGGCAGAAATACTCACCCTGACTTGCTGGGGGGCATCTCAGCATGTTGGTACTAGCAGTAGTTACTTGGGGTTGTGTTTCAGTTGGAGTGGGGCAGGCAGAGAGCTGCGCCACGCACCCTAGAGAGAAGGAATGTAACGTGGGTCGCTGTGGAAAAAGGGGATGATGATGTGAGGAAACATATTCATGCAAAACTTCTGTTTCTTGACTCTTCTTCAGTCCAACGTACGCTACTCCCAAAGTGCTAGAGAAGGCTGGTCTAACCATGGCTGATATCGATGTGTTTGAATTCCATGAAGCTTTTGCTGTAAGTACTCCGAACGCTAAGGATGCCTCTAACTCTAAAATGCCATTCTGTAGAAATCTGTTTTCACGTTGGTGAAAGCTCTTGTTCGGACCTTCACTAAATGTAGATAGGTGTAATTCTACATTTATGTCTAAATATAAGTACCGTATATATTTTAAATATATAACATTTTTACATTGACACAATACATGCTAAGAGTGGCTTATGTTGCTCGAAGTCACCAAAGGAATACAGATTCTTCTAAAATAATACGTAAAGAAAAAAAATTGTACTTTCCCAAGACTCTTGTATGAAAGAAACCACTTCTGCACATCATCTACTAATTGGGCTGGGGCTATGCATTACTATGGCGAGGTGGCCCGTTAATTGGATGGCATCTTTTACTAGCTAGGGTTGAGCTAACATTGATTAACAGGGCTGATCCTGTAAAATGCTTTTTTCAGTTGGCTGTGTTAGTTCTGTGGCTGTAGCTAGTCACAAGATATCTCCTATTTGCTAGCACTGAACATCGGCTTTCCTCGAAGCCTGCCATTATCCCTGTTAACATTGCCCTCCCCTCCTTCTCAGGGGCAGATACTGGCTAACCTGAAAGCTATGGATTCGGACTGGTTTGCACAAAACTACATGGGCAGAAAGTCAAAGGTAAGAGGCGGTCAGGGCGCTTTTATCTTTAGTTTAACCTCAGGATCAATTGAGTTCCACGCTGCAGCCGGGCATGCAAGTACTGCAAGGCAGGGCTTTTGTTGTCTTCTGTGAGGAGAAGCGATGTTTCTCGAGCTCTGGGTTAGCAAATCCCAGTATGAGCAGTTTCTTTGGGAAGGATGGCATTCCCCTTGTCAGCAGGAGGTGGAGATCGAGAGCCACGATAGTAATTGCTGGAGAGGAGGGAATTAAAAGCGGTGGGAGGGCTCAGTCCTGCGTGCTTTCTGACCGCCCGCGTATACCTGTCTGGCTGCAGGGGAAGCAGCAAAGCCTTTGGCACAGTTTTGTGCTGTCCTCAGGCACTTGTACGTGCCAAAGAACACTTCACAGCGGTCCAGGCTGGCCATGTAGGCTTGCTGTTGTGGTGGTGAGGCCAGTCTCCTTCCAGACAGGTGACTGTGTGCGTCCCTCTGTGTGTTCTTGCAGGTCGGAGCCCCTCCTCTGGAGAAGTTCAATAACTGGGGCGGCTCCCTCTCGCTGGGACATCCTTTTGGTGCCACCGGCTGCCGTCTAGTAATTACTGCTGCCCACAGATTGAAGAAGGAGGGAGGACAATACGGCCTGGTTGCTGCCTGTGCTGCAGGAGGGCAGGTAACGATGCTGTATGGCTGGCACCGTTCCCTCTGGAGAGGGGCAGCAATTACATTTCTGCTCCTGTTGGTACTACAAAATCCCATCCGGTTACACCAGCTGTTGGGGCACCTCTGAAGCCCCGTGGCACTGGGTGTTCATAACGCCCTCCAGCTCATCTGGCTGCCTCCTTATCGCAGCTCAGTTCAGCGAGCTCCCTCCGCCTCATCCACTCCAGAGATTTTTCCATCCCGGTCTCAGAATTGTCCCTGGGCAATGGCGACTGCAGCCCGTCGCTGCCCGTATGGTACGAAAGGGAAGGAGATATTTCTGCTGTGTTCTGAGGGTTTTGTTTGGTGACTCTCAAAGACTTCCCAAATTGTGGTTTGTGAGCATTGTTCTTCTAATCTTGGGAAGAAAGATCTTTACAAGAAAAATGGGGGTGACACTCTTCCTACAACTCTTAGAATCATAGAATCGTTTAGGTTGGAAAAGACCTTTAAGATCATCCAGTCCAACCATTAACTTAACACTGCCAAGGCCACCACTAAACCAATTCAGGGCAGAGGAAGAATTAATTTCATGTTTCCTGGCTTGGTGGCTGGATTATTTTTTCATGAAAGTAAAACCAGGAATCACTAAGGTTGGAAAGGCCCTCTAAGATCATCAGCCCAACCATCAATCCAACACCCCCATGCCCACTAAACCATGTCCCCAGGTGCCACCTCTGCCTGTTTTTTGAACCCCTCCAGGGCTGGGGACTCCCCCACCTCTCTGGGCAGCCTGTTCCAGTGCTTGACTACTCTTTCCATGGAGATGTCTCCCAATATCCAATCTAAACCTCCCCTGGCGCAGCTTGAGCCCATTTCCTCTCATCCTCTTGTCTTGAGGCTGAGGATGGGAGCCCTGGTTCAGGTTGGGGTGACCGGTGGCAGTTCTGTGGGGACCTAGCATGGCTGGCCCTCTGTAACCTGAGGGCCCTGGTCCCAACGTTGCTTAGAATCATCGAATTATTTAGGTTGGAAAAGACCTTTAAGATCATCCAGTCCAACCATTAACCTCACACTACCAAGTCCACTCTAAACCAATTAAGGGCAGACTAGACTAAACCATGTCCCCAAGTGCCACATCTACCCGTTTTTTGAACGCTTCCAGGGACAGTGACTCCCCCACCTCTCTGGGCAGCCTGTTCCAGTGCTTGACTACCCTTTCCATGAAGAAATCTTTCCTAATATCCAATCTTCCTCCCCGAATTCCTTGTTTGGCGCTCGGGAGAGCCCGATGCATTGGTCGGGGTGGACTCTGCTGCCTTGGCCAGCCTGAAGCCCATCTGCACTGGCCTGAAGCCATCAAACTGCTGTCTGCAGAATCCTCCTAGTGAATTGGCTCTGGGTTTTGGTCTCCCCTTTAATTTTAAAACAGTTGCGAGCTGAGCATCTCCTGTTGAGAGCACATCTGTAATGATTAGTCCTCTCGGTGACCGTTCTTTCTCTCTCCTTTCAGGGGCACGCGATGATAGTGGAGCTTTACCCTCAGTAACGGGACGAGGAACGGCTGAGTGGGTATTCGTACGTCCTGTGCCTGGCAATGCCATTTCAATGCACTAATAAAAAAACATAGATACAATCCTTCTTGGAAAGGATTTTTGGTGGCCTTTGTAAATACCTTTTAGCTACTCAGCTAGTAAATTTCAACTAATGAACACGCTCTAGGAAATAGTCCACTTCCAGGAGAATAGAAGTTAATGTGGCTATCGGTCTCTCCAGGGTCCTCGTAACCTATCTGATTTCTATTATAACTCTTCAGTAAGCAAGATTTCTCCCCCCCCGGAGAAGAAGAATGATTCCAAAGCTGTGTACAGAGAATTAAGTTTGGAGATACGGAGAACGTAAAGCGCTGGAGGTCGGTGAGCTGAGACGCGAGTTCATGTGTCCTCGTAGGGAGTAACAACTCTTTTCAGGATCGGGTTTGGAGTTGGCTGACCTGGTTCGCGAGGAGGAAGTTTGCTGCACGATGTCCAAACAGCATTGGAGTTAGCAAATTGCTTCTGACAAATGAGCGTCGCTGTTAGCCACAATAAATCAGGAAAAAAAAACCCCAAACATGGCTTTTTTCTTTCCCTCCCCTCACCCGAAATATGTTGGGGATGAGTTTCTGTGGTGTTTGTGGTGGGGGTGGTGTGTGCTGAGGTGGCACCAGGTGTCTGCTTTCTGAAATGGGAGAGAACTGCTCCGAAATCTGCCTGGAACCCACCTTGAGCTCCAGAGCCCCGGTGAATCATCACAATACATTGTTTTGAGACGCTTTTGGTAACTCCCGCTTCTCTGTGGCACCTTGATTACTTGGTTTCGGTGTCTGGCATTTTGAAAATTCAGAAATAGGGGCAGCGTGATGCTTACGCAGAGTCAAATCGTTGATAAACTCCAGGTGTGCAGGCTTGTGCTCTTTCTCCCAAGATTTTGGGAAGATGAGACAGTCGTTCTTGCCCTTTCGGTTAACATTCTGGGTGGTTTTCTTCACCCGTCTCCGCGGTTCTGTTTATGCTGGGGATGGCTGGCTGGCCAGGGAATAGAGATTCTTCTAAAAGAACCTGCAAAAACCTTCGAGTCCTTTGTACGAAAGACCCAGCTTCTGCAACCCAGCAGCTGCCGTGCAGCCCCGTGATTCCGGAGGCGCACCTGAGATAAGGGACGGGCGCTGCCGTGGGTGGGTCTTGTTTATTCCCGCTTGGAAATCTTGTTCAATGCTGCTACTCCGTGCGGACGGGAGCGCGGCGCAGGGCTGTGGCTGCGAGTGGGAGCTGCCTGGGTGAGGGGGGAAGGGGCCTGTGTGGTTTTTGGTGTGTGAATGCCCCTTGCATTTCCTGCTCAAACGCCTGGGGGAAGGTGCTCCGTGTCCCGCTTCCCGGCGGAGGGAAGTCCTGGAGAGCTCAGCAAACTTTGAAGTGGCACCACTGCGATTCCCATTGTGTTCACCTGTGCCGGAGCCTGTTGCGTGGCTGCGTCAGCGTGGTGACGCGGTGTGACCCTGCCTTGCAGGATGAGTCGAGTTAAACAGCCTTTAAAGATAAGGCGGCACCAAAAACGTGTGGCTGCTTGCTTTGTTGATGAGGTGAAGCCCTGCCTGCGTGGGCACCGGCCTTCCCGCAGCGACGGA